ACACATTTTATCCATGTTAATTTTATATATTAATCATCATCTTTTGCTTTGATACCTTTCACTTTCTATTAAATTGTCTTTCATTTTCTACGGACCTTGACTGCAGCCCCGAACAATGTGGAACAATTAATATTCCCCAACTCTCTGCCTTGGAATTTCTTATATCAGCAACGATATCAGAGACCCGCATAATATCAGACTATTTCGACTGATTTGGCTTACGGGGCAGCTGCAATTAATTAAATCACTCCACCTTGATCAGCAAATGAAGCAGTTTTGTTGGCCTGCTATCTACGCACATATCTAATTTAGTATAATGTGCATTATATTCGCTTATTTAATTTAGTTCAACATGGTAAGATACAAAGCATTTGCTTGCCCATACACTGAAATAAAATACACCTGCCCTGTTTTAAAAGACCCCCATCCATGGCGAACTGGGCAGCCTCATTTGTGAGTCAAAGTTGAGGAAATGTTTGAGTTTAATAGACCCGCTGGATGATTTTGATGACGATGGTGATGGAGAGGCACTGATAAGAGCTCTCGTAATGAGCAAACATTTTAGTATTGAAATTTTAATTAGCTATTGCGCAATAAAAATAAAAAACGGCCTGAAAAGGAAAAACAAGAAATTATGAAAATTATGCCCGACTTTTTGGTTTTTATTGAAATTTATGCCCGGTGACAGTTGAACCCCCTTCATGGGGGAAATTAACCAAAAGCTTGGCCATAAAATGCATTAACTCTATATGCAGCAGACTGCATAGAATTTTTTTCATATTTTACGATGGCCTTTTTTTATTGTCTGAACTTATAGGGATACTCAAAGTAGAGCCGTTGATTGCACGGACCATGCAGGTTGGCATTTTATTAATGAGATTAATCAATTTTGGTTTTCTTCATTATCGCCATGGTTGTTCGTGTTCTGGGTGCCCTATTCCGCCCTTTTTTTGTATTCTTTTTTTGTTGGTCTCTAGTGCTGAGTGTCTGGTATCTGATGGCGTTTTTTACGATGCCTTTCGGTCTCGGATCTTAATATTTATGTGGGAGTCTTTGGCATCGAGGCGGTTCGGAGTTTTCAGTTGACGGCTTTTTACGATCTGTCAACGCAGGCCAACGTGTAGAATATATGAGCTCAATTGTCTTTTTTACGACTGCAGCTCATTTGCTTAGCACCAACGCCCCCATCTCCCCCCAAAATTTCCCTTAACCCCTGGCGTCTGTGGCACAGCCTGTCAACAGTTTACACAAACAGCAAGCAAAGGGAGCATTTTTATGTGCACTACAAAATGTATGAAATGTACTGCTAATAGCAACCGACCGGGTCTCCAGAGTGTTGATATTTAGGCCCTTTGCCATCACCAATCCAACCCCTCACAACGCAAGGTGCAAACAACTAAAAGGTACTGAACCTAGCCCAGGTTTTACGACTCGCATTGGCAACATGCATCGGCATCTAGGGGTTAAGGCTGCCACTTCGATGGCAGGAAACGAAAGTAATGCTCGACACTTTATGACCCTGGCCCCAGGAACTCTATTAGGCATCTGATTTGAAAGCACATATGGCCTTTAAAGGGTCTTGGGCCATAATGAAAGTTACCTCTACCTAAACGTTCGTCAAACATAAAAAGGTTTACAGACATCTGCGGTAAAAATAATAATAAACAACATAAGTAATATAAATACCCATTTTCTTTAAAAACTATAGTATACTTTTACTTTAGTAAAAGATACTATAAATTAAATGTGTACTATAAAGACCAATATAAAACCGATGCAGGAAACGGTTTAATATTTTTTACAACAATATGTTTTTATTGTTGATTTAATGCTCAAATTAAGCGTCTAGTGAAGGTGATTCTAAGGCTATTTCTTGTAACTTTTTATACCAGAATATTCCAACAATTTCCTTATCAGAAAACATCTGAGTGTATAAAAAAATCCAAATAGCTCTAGCTTGCAAATTATTATTATCTTCATGTATCGCAACATTGCACAACAATATTTTAAATCTCTTCTGCATCTGTTCAAAAAATTTGTTTACCTTCAGGATTTACACAAACTGCAAAAATGGCATTCCTCAGCTCATTGTTGCCAAACTCATGAATCACTCCCCGGCCACAGCCACAAAATCTGCAACTGAAATGCTTCCAAAGATGCAATTTTCCCATAATTTCTTGCAATTTCCGAGGCATTGTTTTGGCAGATCGGCCGTAAAACCTCTATAGAAACCAAAACAAAAACTCTGTGGGCCATTTGCCAAAGAGTACAGTGACAGGGCATTCTTATATATTTTTTTTGGTAGCCAGACAATTCACACAAGAAAAGGGCAATTAAATTCCGGGAATTATCGGAACTAAACAAGCGACAAACCACAAAAGCGCAGTGGCAGTAGGAAATCGCCGCACGTAAGTAGTTTCAATCAATGCAACAAAGGTCACCAAAGACGGCCAAATAAACAATGAACCAGGCTTAAAAGAAGAAGAAGGCCAAAGAGATATTCAAGCAGGTAGAGCGGCAGAGGCTGAGAATGAGTTTGATGCCTCATCATGGCCATCAGGTGGCATGACAATTAAAATTAGGTAACACAGTGAAAATTGGAAAGTAGCCGCCTCCGAGAACTTTGAACTGCCGCCGATCTGCTCCGGATCTGTTCCACTGTTCCAAAGACCGCCTTTGATGACCGCCGACAACCTGAGTTGTTAGCGCTGATGAAGTAATTCAGTAATTCAGTTGCCCTGCCATTTAACTAAATATTTTGATTAAAGCCGACTGTGGCTGTGGCTTTAAGCCAAGTCAGCGGCTGCTAGAGAAAAAATCAATAGACTTCCGCTGCCGCCGCTTTATTTAAATGGCAAGTTCACGCCCGTTTTTCTCCTCTCGTTTCTGAATTCGTTGTTGTCTGGCCTGTCCATTAAAAGCGAATTCCTCAAAACTTGGCTGTCAGCAGCAAACAATGTCAACATTGCCCGGAACATGGGTTCGGGGAGGGATCTAAGGGTCGTCCTGGTTCCCCCTGATTCCGATTCCACTGGTCACCCTCGCTCGACAAGAAGAAGGCGAAATATTCATGCGAAAATTTGTTAACTTTTTCTTGGGGCAAGGAACAGGCCAGGCAAACACACAAAAGGGCTAAGCCATACAATTTGGGGCCATCTATCGCTGTCGCTTCCTACTCCTTTTTTATTCATGAGCACACAAAAATAATACAAATGAAAATAATAAAAATACAAATTGAAAGGAAAACAAAACACTTTTTGTGCCGGGTTGTCCCGGGGTTGGACTTTCTCCTTTCTCCGTCTGTGTGTGTGTGTGCGTGTGGCAAATAAAAATAAATATATTATTTTACACGATACCAAGACGCGCGCCAGACGCTGCACAAATCTAATTCAAATTCAGCTGAAGAAGTGGCAAAATAATGTGCGAGCTGGGCGTGCAGCAAAGGGGGTGTGGGTGGATCCTGGGTTGGGTGTCCCCCCCAAATGCGAATCCTTTTTCCTCGTCCTGCGGGCGGTCCGTGACGACCATAAAAAGGCAGGAAAAAGGCGACGCCGGCACAGGCCGCCCATTTGTTGTAGCCACCTCCCCGGAAAGCCCGGAAAACTGCCTCTCCCCTGGAATAACTCACTCATATATGCGATCTAACGATTGCAGACTGAAACCAATACGTGTCGCTGGGTGTAAGATACATTAACATATTTGTTTTGTCTGTGGGTTCTACTTCCCCCAGTATCCACTCTCTCTTTCGTTCACGCGGAGTCTTAAATTGTACAAGAAGTTATGGCGACAATGGATAAATATTAAATGGTAACCGATTTTTAGTGTTATATGATCGAATATTAAAATACTCTGTAGAAAAAGAACATTTTAAAATGGTTTTCCCATTTTAAAGGAACACGAATTGCTAGTTTTAATGGCTTACAAACTACCTAATATGTATCTATTATTTTATTTAGCAGTTTATATTTTTTTGTGAAACGCCAAAAGAGACTTACACAATAATATAGCGTGAAATTTAAAAATATATTTATTTTGAATCAAACTTAATTAGGATAGTATGATTTTTTATTCCACAAATTTTATTCGCTTAACATCTACTTTAAAAATAAATTCATAGTTTTAAAATAACTGATTTATGTATCAAGATAATCTAAATGTTTTTATAAGCCATGTTCAAAATATCAAATCCTCAGTATTTACAAATTGCATTTGTTAGACACCTATTAAAAACGAAATAACTGCTTAAGGCGTACACCAAATTTTAGGGTTTTTAAAAGTTAACATCAAAGTTTAAACTCAAAATATCCTATATTTTAAAGTCATAGCCAGTGATACACAGCCCTACCTTAATTCTGATAAATCACAAGCTAAGCACTTTCTTAGTTTAACAAGTTTAGCTCCACTTTTGCTTAGTGTATATGAGTTTCCTGTTTTAAAAATTAACTAATATTTTTGAAATAATTTTTTAAAGTATCCAAAGTATCTGAGCGCTTTTAAAGGCCTAGTTCGAAATATCCGATTCTTTGGATTTCGTATTTAAAAATTGTAACAATTTACAAATTTAGGTAATAATTTGTAAATTGTTAGATTGTTTAATAATAAATGCATAGTTTTGAAATAAATATTTCAAGTACAGAAAATCGTAGCACTTTTTAAAGCCAAGTTCAAAATGTCGAATCTGAAAATTCCCAGCCTTTGACACACAGTCCTATCTCAAATCCGATAAATCAAAAAATGAAATGCAGCACTTTCTTAGCTAAACAAGTTTTGCTCCACTTTTGTTTAGGGTATTTGCTTTTCCAATCCAATTTATTCTATATATACCGAATCGTTTAATGAATTCCATATTTCGCTGTGCCAGGGAATTCCCCCTTTGGGAGACTCTAACAAGCTCTGGCAGCTGTCCACCAGTTTTCTCGCCCAGCTAGAAGCCCCATCCTCCTCCGCCTCCCAGAGTTTTCCATCTGAGCACTCGTTCCGCCCGTATCCACTTAGACAGCTCAGGCATAAAAAACATATGTTGCCTTTGGTCCTTTCACTCCTTCTTCGCTCGTGTCCTTCAGGACACCCACAATCCACCACCCACTCCTTTTCGGTTGTGCTTTTTCCAACAATTGGTTTTTAGGTGGCAGTCGAGCACATTTTAAGTGGTAATCATTTACGCTTCGCAAATAAATACCGAGTTTGTGATTTGAATTTTCCTGCCATTTCCATTTTCCTCGCTCGCTGCCAGATTCTGTTTCTGCTTCGGTTTGCGTTTTATTTTCATTTCGAGTCATCCTTTCTCCGTTTGTTTTTGTTCTGTTGCGCCGTTTTTCGGCTTTTCTCTTGGGTTTATATCACAGCTTTCATTTTTGTGGGCCGCCCTTGTCATAAAAACAGCGTAGGACATTGTAAATTTTAAAGGTTAACCCTTTTCGCTTTACTTTTATGAAAGAAACCCGCTTTTAACAGCTAAGTCCGACGGGATTAGGTTCTTCAACTCGGCCAGACCTTAACAAAATCCCAGCCCAAACTTATTATTGATCATTGGTTGTTAAGATCTGGAACTGGTTTTCCAATTACCCTCGGCTGGCACTCATTAACCCATTAGGCCCAGCCTATTAACTTAACCTGAAGTACTTTCGTTGGATCTAGTTTAAAAGTAAAAACCCGAAGACGAATGAAAGTTTTCATTGTTTGGGAAATGGCTTTAAGGAACCCCGGCTGGCCGACTGAGAAGTAACCAAAACTGAGCAACCGCAGACGCTGACTGATTTTCACATCTGCGTTGGGATCTTTAGCTCTGTTAATGATCTACACGCAGTTCTCCAAAGAAAGATGAGGAATACATATGTACTGGAAAAAATATTGCTTTTTACTGGTGATTTAGGGAACATAATGAAATCCTAAGAGTGAATACAAATGTTGGTAAGTTTTTTTTTTGTGTTTTAGGTACACCCGGTTGTACTAAAAGTATACCAGAGACAGTATTGAAATTAAATACTAAATAGTAAAAAGTTTTACAGAACAATTTAATTTTCATAATAAACAGTCTCGAATTTGGGCTTGTGGTATTATTTTTAATCAAGCTAATTCTAATTTAATACTTTGTAAATCTTAATTAAATTTCATCTTATCGACGTCAAACCAATACTCAATAGTATAGAATCAATGTAACTACAGGCGATTTTATATGACTATTTTTTTTCGGTGTACCTGTTTGCATCCCTACAGATTTTTTTTGAATTTTTTAGTTTTCTATTCAAATATTTTGATTAAAAAATTCCATTGAAACGATTTATGATTATCTATTTTACTTTTTATAATAATAATATCGATAAATTATTATCAAAATTTTTGTGTTTATCGACGGACACAGTTACTTTTCTACGACATTTTTTTCGGTGTACATATTCGTATCCCCACAATTTTTATTATATTCATAGTTTTCCAGTCAAATATTCAAATATAAAATATTAAAAAGTTTAATTGTAGCGAATTATGATTATGAATTTTACTTCATATAATAGTAATATCAATAAATTACTATCAATTTATTATTATCAAAATTTTTTTCCGTGTAAAGTGAGGGAGACAAACCTGATCTTTGAGTAACGCGATCAGGTGCGAACAAAATTATCAGCCCATGGGCAACGCGAAGAACCAAATAAAGGGAGAAAAGAAATACAGAGAAGAAATCAAAACTCGCCGCGAAGTTAATTATAATTGCCTGGGCAAAAATACAATGAGGGGGAAAAAATAAATAAATAAAGGTTGCCTGGTTGACTGGAAAACGTGGGCTGGTCCGGAGGAAGGGGGCGGGGCTGGTCGGTGGTTTTATTATTGATTCGGCGCTCGGATTTTTATTTTTGAAGTGTGCGTGCGCCGGCATCTTAAATTATTTTCCATTTGAGGCACGTAGCCGAGCTAACTATATGAAATATCATTCGATGGGCCTGTGTGAATGGGAATGCCTTTTCATAATTATATTTAATTTCAAGGTTGCGCCGTGGCGGAAGACAACAAATAATTGTCGGAGATAATCGGCAAGCTGTCGCGGCTGCTTAGCGCCTTGTCAAAAGAATTGGCCGACAGCAATCCGAAAGATATAAATAATACGAAAAAAAAATAACAAAACAACAAAATTGATATAATACCCTGATACCGGCTGCAGAATATATCTGAGTGGGTGTAATTATGACAATTGAGACCGATTCGGCGGTCCACCGATTGAATGGGAATCAGCCCAATTGCAGTTCTCGAATGTGTGAATGGAGATTGGAGAACAATCCGATGGCTAATGGATTTGATATTGGAGAACGTCGGCTGAATTGAGGTTTGTGGAGCGATTAAGCGAAATGGATACTGACAGACACAGATGCAATTATGTTTTTGCATCGAATGTGGGTTGATTTCAGAGTATTGGATTTGAGTGCCAATAGAAGTGTTGAGAGTGGCGAACTCAATTGCTACCGATTTAGGGTTGTATTTTGTTTTATTTTCCATGTAGAAAACACAATTAGATTGTAATTTTCAAAGCTTAAAAATTAATGTGTATACGCTTTGCATACCCATATATGAAATATGAAACTGTTTTTTCAAGCTTTTGATTAATTCGAATAGAACTAGAACATTTTTTTTAATTCAAAGTTACTTTACTTGCATATATATGCAAATGTATTTGACTAAAAATTGGTGTTTCTACTTTGCAAATAAAAATCTGACTAGCAAAATATGTCAAGGCTTAAAGTGTGATTGATAGAAACTTAATTGGTTTTGTTTCCTTGCATATTTTTATCACATATGTTGTTTCTTGCAACTCAGAAAACATAATTTAAATATGATTTTTAGAGACAAGGTGTTGCATCTATTGGATAAATTAAATCGGTGCATCTATAACTCAGCTGCTCGGCTGTGGGAAACCCACAAATCAATGCCCAATATAAATGCAAGCAAATCAGGTCAATGGGTCTGGTCTGGTCTGTGTAGGAAGTTCTCAAATTAAGACATACCATTCGGAGAAACGACTTCCCCACTTGGGCAATAAAACACAGTCTGCGGTGTGAATTGAGCCGAGTGCTTTGTGCTTTTCCAACCGCCGGACCAATTCTACAATAATAGAGGAAACATTTCGCCCGACGACTGTTTTATTTGACATATCAATTTCCCGGGGCCGTGTAAACATATCAAATCGATCGCAGAACTTGTCATGCCCAAATAGATCGAATGGAGCCGGGAAGCGAGACCAATCTCTGGGTTGTTGGACACTAAATGGAATTGTAAACACAGGCAACATAACTGTGACTCTGGGCCCTCGACTGTGACGTATTGTGTTCAATGGAAATTAACACGAAATCGAATAAAACAGCAAACAAACCGAGAGAACGGCCCAAAAAATATTCGTAGCAGCTCAATTTGATTTTCGAGTTTTTGTTGGGCTTTCAACGCCTGCGCAAAAGTCAAGCGCTACAAGCATCATAAATTGAACTACAACATGCCGTACAACGAACAACCTGAGCCAGAAATTGAAAATCAACAACACGAACACTTTTGTCGTGCATTTTGCGCCACACCCAGCAAACAATTTAGTCAATATACACAGAGTGGTAGATATGCATCGACTGACGGGGTTCGTGGACCCTAGTCTCTGTCTGTCTTTCTATGCTAAACAGCCTGCAGTCGCCTTAACTTATTGAATTTCACACGCAAAATGGAGTACGATAAGCTCTGGTTCCCCCACCAAGGTGATCTCAAGACCCCACCTATGCCACTTTCGTGTCCCCCAGACCACGAACTGTTTGGGTTAGTCATGTGACTGGTGCCTTGAGATCAGATCACTAAGAACCTCCTCCGTCGACACAACCTTCAACGCCAACTCCAGCTGGGATCTAACGTGTAAGCCGCTGATTTTGGGCTGATATGTGGATGTTTACATACGAACACTGATTGGTGTTTTGCTGCAGGTTTGAATATGATAATAATATTTTTAAGTTAACAGAACTGCCGCTGTTCCTAGACTTCGAACATTTATTTATTGAAGTTTTCCAATATATTGTATTGGAAAGAATAAATTTAGGATCCGACCATATCTTATGTATCTAATGTGTTGGTGATTCCATAGTCTACAAACTTTTTCTATTGTTTGATATTTTTCGAAAACATTTTTTGAGGTCCTAAATATTGTATATTTAAAGTTTTTTAAAATTATTATTAAAATGTTATTAAAAATATGTAATCAAAATAATATGTAAAGTATTTTTCAGAGATCCACAGTTTTAGTTTTTTAAAAACTATACTGTTATTAACTTATAAATGTAAAAATCACACAATTTTGATTCTTTATCAAAAGAAGGAACAGAAAACTCATATTACTCCTGGGCTTAAAATGTGTAATAATCATAAAAATTGGAAAAAAATTCGTAAGCATCGTAGGACTTAAAAAAAACACAAATATGTATAAAGTTCGGTCCCTGGATTTTTCTGTTGTTTTCGATCTAGTGATTTTTTTATGATATACACAATTATTGTACATATTTGCATCTTAAATTTTAATTTAAATAAACGCCATTCTTAATTTAAATGCCCTACATAACCAATCCGATGAAAGTGTACCATTTTCCAAGCTTATAATTCCGAACCAATTATTCGCTGAAATCACATGATGCGTATATTGATATTTCAAGACCCCATAATTGTTTTTTGCCATTCAGGCTGGCAAATGAACTCCAGAAATGCATTGCAACGAGGCTGAATAATTAATTTCTGGCCCAGCACCTGTTCGCGTGTAATCGATATCTGAGCTCGTGCTGGCTGTCATCGATTGCCAGATGCTGGCAAATATTTATCAGCTGCAACAGCGCTGCACTGACCCATAAAAGCCGCATAAATATTCATTGCTAGCGCCGCGGCCCAGAGCTGCATTTATAATAAAATGCAAATGTATCAATTAAAGTGTGTTTTATTTTGTCAACAGCCGAGGATTCCGATGGTATTGCTACGCAATATGTATAGAGAGTGCTATGGGGTACAAAAAAAGACTTTGGTGCACTAGAGACAGTACTTGGATTGGATTGGCGGAGTATGACGACGTCGAGTGGTGGTCGTATATCTCTGGTTGTTGACCTCGCACAATGGGGGAAACTCGCACCACATACTGGCAACACATGGAGCGTATTCCTATACCATACCATCTACTATTATACGACAACGGAGCGTAGTTTCACTTACAATTAAATGACGAGGTCGCTGTCGATGACGACAATTGTCCGCCACAAAGCAACGGGACATCAATAAAGCT